CTCCTTGGAGGCCAGGATGGCCAAACTTGGTCTCTCATACTTCAGACACGTTGTCAGGAGGGACCAGTCACTGGAGAAGGTTTGGTAAGGTGAAGGGTCAGAGAAAAAGAAGAAGACCCCCAGTGAGATGGATTGGCAAAGTGGCAGCATCATTGGGCTCAAGCGTAGTAACCATTGGGAGGTTGGCCCAGGACTAGGCAGTATTTCGTTATGTTGTGCTATGAGTTGATACCAACTCAATGGCACCTAACAACAACATTAACCATTGTCCCACCCAGGGAAAGACCAATCTAACATTTCTTAAAAGAATAACCACTGGTAATATTCAACTAGGATCCCCAACTCATCCCAGCTGGCCTGAGATTTACCTGAAAGTCTACGATCCAGTGTGCCCCCTCACACCCTACTGCTGATCACCCTGTGTGTGGTACTTCATCAGGGCCAGATGCTATGCTAAGGAGATCTTATAGTATTTGCTCATTTAATCCTCACAGCCACACCAATGAGTAACACATCTGTAATTACCACTATACAGATGAGAAAACAGAGAGACCAAGGGATTTATTCTATATCACACAGCGAGGATGTGCCGGGGCTCAAATCAAGCCAGACACAGAGTTCTGAGGCATGCATTTTGTCTGAAGACATTCTCTGTGCAGACAAAACCACTGATGGAGTGTCATAGCTGGAATTCATGTAAAGCATCCCAGTGAGGCTTTCTGTCTCGTTCTACACAAGTCTCCGCTCAGAACTGTCTTCGTTATTGATACTACTGTGATAGCTGGTCTCCAACAGCAATACTGAGGACACGCAGTCACAGAGTGTTTCCTGGAGCACATGGGGGAGTGTCTGATGCTGGTCTCCCCAAGTCCAGCTGTTTTCTCCGGAGCTGCCATCCGGGGAGGCTCTGGAACTGGGACCCTTGTTGGCAGAGATTCACTCTTCTTTCTCAGGGCTGCACTTGAATCAGTGGGTGAACTGCCTGCTCAGTCAAAACTGCAACTTTGTCCTCAGACTATTTTTATCAGGGGACAGAATGTAACCTTATGAATCAGAGGTTGTAAACTTGTGTTTGGTGGTCCAGTGACACCCAGGGGTGCCCTTTTGTGGCGATTGTTTACCCTGAACGAGGCTTTAGAACATTTGGAGCCAATATTTAAAAATTGAGATATTTTGCATTTTTAAAATTCGATCTCAAGTTCCTGTTTGAAAAAAGAAAAACGAAATAGAATGTTTAACAGCACTGAGGCTGCATTCTTTAGGGGAGGTCTCAGCTGGCTCTAGACAGACAATGCTCCCTTAGACAGGACACGTCACATTCAGTTTGCCATAGTTCCCCCAATTCCAAACTGTCTCCCCAACATCCAAAGCAGCATTGTTTGCACTGTACCTGCCTTCTTAGTATCAGAAGCCCCCCTGTAAAGCTAAGTTGCTTTTGTTGGTGGTGTTAAGTGCCATCGAGTTGGTTCTGACTCATAGCGACTCCGTATAGGGTTTCTTCCAAGGAGCAGCTAGTGAGCTTACACTGCCAACCTTGTGGTTCAAACTGACTTTTTGGTCCAGTACTCATGCTACAGTTGCCACACCAGGACTCCAGTTGCTTTTACAACTGGGAATAAGATCTCAGTGGCTATTCTCATCCTTAAACTCTCCTGTGTTTTCAAATTTTCTCTCTACTCTCCTTCCCTAGGGCATTTCAGTTTTAAGTAAATTATGGGGAAAGGGCTTCTACTCTCTGACAGATTTTTGCAAACTGTAATTTGTCTATCATTTTCCAGAATCATCCCCCCAAATTATAGGAATCAAGCAGGATCGCAAACGTTTCATTTGAAATAAGGCTGTACCGTCCAAAACCAAAAATAAAACAGTTGTTTTCTGTGACCCTCTTTTCATGACATGAAACGATTGTTTCACACCAAAAATGAAGATAGACATCCTTATGCAAAAAACAATAAGAATCCCCAAGAAAAGAGTCACATTTGGTCATAAGTGGGAGAAACCTTCCTAAACCTGACTAAGCTTTAAAGGGCTTCAGGAACAGCTTGATCCAGGAGCAGACACGGTGGGCCCAGTCCCCACTGTCTGTCTCTTACTGTCTCTCTTCTTCCTCCCCACCTCCATTTCCCTCCCACTCTCAACACTGTTGTCCTCTGCATTGACTTCATTCCAGACACATTTTCTTCAGAAACAGCAGTTGCTCTAGAACAGGGGCGGGGACTGTCCAGCCCTCAGGCCGCATGAGACCTACAGAATCATTGAGTCTGATCCTGCCAAGGCAGCTGCAGTTGCAGCCATCACATCAGGGGCGAGATAATTAAATGTTGGCCAAATATAGCAGGTTAAATTTTTTTTTTAAGTTTTTTATTGTGAATTGAGTGATAGTTTACATGGAAGAACATCAGCTTTACATTCATCCTATCGTACTTCGTTTCATTGCAATGATTACAATCCCCTCCATGCATCATCAAACAACCCAAGGGTTTATACACCCTGCAAGCCTGCCCCCTGGCCGTCAGCACACAGCCCCTCTCCCTCCCTGAGTCTAGAGTTCCCAGCGGCTCCATCTCTCCACGTCATCGTCTCTGACGTCACTCTTTCTCTGAATAGGGTCCTGCATTCTACTTTTCTCCCTTGATGGTCCCAGGGTCCTCCGCTCCTGGACTGCGAAGTCAACCACTCCCCTCCTTTTGCTATAAAACATCTACCTTTACATTTGCAACTCTCACAGTCAGTCCTGATAGCAGTTGTTCACTATTGAACCACAAGAGTTTTATCCCCATCTCCTTTCACCCACCCAGTCCACACAGGTTAGAAACCACTCAGTGCAGATTCTACCTTCCTTTGCACCCTCTGGAACTAAGCTCCCTCTTGAAAGCTTGTAAGCCAGTCACTTCTTGCCTTTTTAGCCCATATTTTAGGTAGCCAATGTCTAAGTTGCCCATCCCTGCCAATTCTGTATACTGAGGGGTAGAAATGATCCTTGCTGTAAAGATTAGTTCCCTCTTTTGAGCTACTACATCCACAAGTTCATCAAATTGTAGCAGACTGCTCTTTTTTTCTCTTCTTTCTTCCTCTAGTCGAGTTCTGATCATCCAGCCATTGAAGCCAGGTCAAGTGGGTGCTGTCTGCAAGTGTGGGTGTTCTTGTGCATTTTCCCCTCAGTTGGACGCTTCACTCTCTGCTCTATCTAGCCCTCTGTAGCCGTGTCCCAGCAGGTTAATGTTTTTTAATGTTTTATTGTGAATTATGTGATAGTTTACATGGGAGAATATTAGCTTTACATTCATCCTATCGTATATCGTTTCACTGCCATGGTTACAATCCCCTCCATGCATCATCAAACAACCAAAGGATATACCCTGCAAGCCTGCCCCTCGGTTGTCAGCACACAGCCCTCTCCCTCTCTGAGTCTAAAGTCCCCAGCCGCTCCATCTCTCCACGTCATCGTCTCTGCCTCCATCTCAGGCATCACTGCTTCTCTGGGTAAGGTCCTGCATTCCGCTCTTCTCCCTTGATGGTCCCAGGGACCTCGGCACCTAGACTGCAAAGTCAATCACTCCCCTCCTTTTGTTACAAACGTCTACCTTTACATTTCCAACCCTCACAGTCAGTCCTGATAGCAATTATTCACTATTGTACCACAAGAGACCTATTCGCACCTCTTTCATCAGCCCCGCCCAGACAGATTGGATACTACTCAGTGGAGATTCTACCTTCCTCCATGCTCTCTGGATCTAGGCTCCCTCTTGAAAGCTTGTAAGCCAGTCACGTCTTGCCTTTGTAGCCCCCCC